ACCGAATGGAACTGAAAGTTCAACATGGCGACCTGTCACTTGTTTAACTCTTGGATATTTCACCTCTATTTTCTTCTCCGCTTGGTAGTCTTCCTATACCTTGAGTTTGTCTCAACTCAATTTGAGTCTGGCTCACCTAGTTTTCTTGACAGTCATGGGGCCTCTTATGTCCCAAACTCCAATGATAGTTTGCATAAATAGCAATTGCTCTGTAAATCCCAGGTATAAATGAATGCACAGGTATGTATGTCTTATTTTATGGAAAAGGGAATAAAGCCATGCCATTCTTTCATAATACCATTAATTGGAAAACCTTTTGAATAACGTCTAAGAATGAAACCTGGAAATAAGATCACTCCTGAATCTAGTAACTCATTGTCTAGCCTTATTGGCTATTTGCCTTTCATTTCTTGTCTACTAGGTATAGCATCCCTGTGGTCCTGTCTCCTTTATAATATCTTCATTAGAAAGTTCTTTGTTTAAAAGAAGACAACTAGAGACAGCTAGGCATTGTGGCACATGCCTATTATTTATCAATACATTTCTGTGCATCAAAAAATACTACCAAGAGTAAAAAAAGATCCGGGCATTATGATATATGCTTATAACCCCAGTGAGCGTAAAGAATCTGGGAGTCAAGGCCAGCATGAGCTACACAATGGAATTTGTCTCAAAAAACCAAAAGTATACAAACCCACAGGATGGAAAGAATATTTGTAAGTCATATTTGATAAGAGATTTACATTCTAAATCCTAGGATGAGATTAATATCTTAAATACTAAATATAAATCACTCCTATATTTCAACACCAACAAGGATGTTATTCCAAAGGAAAAATACAAATGACCAATAAACATATTTAAAGATAACCAACATCTCTTATGATTGGAAAAATTTTTCTTAAGAAAATGCAAGTCAATAGGCTGGGAAGTTGGCTCAGTGGTAGAGTGCTTGCCTCGCATGCATGAGGCCCTGGGTTCGATTCCTCAGCACCACATAAGCAGAAAAAAGCCAGAAGTGGCACTGTGGCTCAAGTGGTAGAGCCCTATCCTTGAGCTAAAGAGCTGAGTGACAGCGCCCAGGCCCAGAGTTCAGCTCCCACGACGACAAAAAGAAAAAGAAAAAAGAAAATGCAGGTCAAAATCATAATGAGATAACCACTGCACCAGGCAATTATCAATAGGAAAAAAATCCCCCAAAAATTGTTGGTGAGAAGCTGGACACTGGTGGCTCACACCTGTAATCCTAGCTACTCAGGAAGCTGATTTGAGGATTGTGGTTTGAAGCCAGCCTGAGCAGGAAAATCCATGAGATTCTCATCTCCAATAAAGTACTCAAAAAAAAAAAAAAAGTCAGAAGTGGCACTGTGGCTCAAGTGGTAGAGTGATAGCCTTGAGCAAAAGCAGCTCAGGGACAGTGCTCAGGCCAACTTCAAGCCCCAGGACTAGCAAAAATAAAAATAAAAAAATTGTTGGTGAGGATAAGAAAAATTAGAACCCTGCATATTTCTAGTAGAGTGTAGAACAGTATAGTTACTGATAAAAGATAGTATAGCAGTTCTTAAAAAAATTACCATGTAATCCAGCAATCTTAGTTTTAGTTTTCTAACGAAGAGAAACTGGGAATCTAACCTATTTTCACATAAGTAAAATTTTCACAGTAGCATTATTGTTAACGGCCCAAATATCCACTGGCTGATGGGGGGGGGGGAAACAAAATGCAGTATGTGCATACAATGGAGTATTATTCAGCCTTCAATAAAATCTATACATGCTACAACTTGGATATTATTCTAAGTCAAATACTCTAGACAGAAGGGCAACTACTGTGCAAGTTCACTCTGTGAGGTACCCAGCAACCTCAAACTCAAGACAGATGGATAGAAAAAGAGAGTAGTAGTTACCTGGGATCTGAAGGAAAGAATGGGGGAGGAGGCATTAACAGGTACAGGGATCAAAAAGGGCATGATGGAAAGTTCTGGAGGTAGATGGTATAACGGCTGCCCAACTCACAGAACACATTGCGCTGTACCTGTGAAAGTAGCTAACAAATTTTGTACAAACATGTTCTGCTTCAAAAACCATAAAAATTCCATTGAAAATAAACTTCTCAAAATTGAATATATATATATTACCAATGACTATCTGGTTTGTCAGCTGGAGTCTTCCTATAAAATTAGAAAGAAAAAAAAACCTTTCAAACCAGATTTTATCTTTTAGCATATCATTATCAACCAATGTCTAGAACTTGTCTTATGAAATGAAGACATAGTAATTTATGAGGAACAAGCATACTTGAGAAACCTATCTGGCATACTCATGTTTAGTCATTAACTGTCCTACAGTTGATATGTCTTATTCTGTAGTTTCCTTCAGCATGTATTCTTAACTTTTAGCTAAAACATCTCCAATTTAAAAACAAAATATATAGAGAGAACAATGATATATACGATTCACATACTAGACTTGAATTTCAAAGACTTTTCTATATAAATAAAAGGCACTGAGAACTACCTTATGATTCCAAGAAATACATGCATTTTGAGTTCTAAAAAGTAAAAACATAAAAACATTTAATTTGAAAGAACCAAAGGGGACATCATGGCATCAACTTTAACACAGTGCAAGAACCCATGTGTAATCAGAAGGAAAGTTTCCAAGGCTGTCACAAATCTCAGATATCCTGATGCCACATTTCCACAAAAAAAAAAAAAAAAACAAAAAAAACAAACCAAGCTATATTACTCTTAGGAGCAAAGTCAAGAACATGCACAAAATAAACCCAAATTTGAAAAATGACTCAATACAAGTGGAGACTAGGCAAATAAATTTGACATGTGGAAGGAACTGGCTAGCTGTAAGACTGGAGGAATCTGGGCATACAAGTAACACAAATCAACAATACTGCCCTGCCATTTCTAAAAGTAATTTGATATTGTGATAAATACAAATGATCTAAGAGTTAATACTTGATGTTCAGCATTTTAAGATGGCCAAAACAAAAGCTCACAGTCGTTTAAATCTTGTTTCTTAGTTCTCAAAAATAGTTTCTGGCTATGTTTAAGTATGAATGTGTAATCACTTAAGTTGGTAAGGGGCTAGAGAGCCACACAAACGTGTATATCAATAGGGCTAGTTATCTTATTATCTTTTTAACGCAGCAAGTCTACAGGGAATGTTAGATACACTTCAGCAAGGTGTAGAGATAGCGCCAAATCAGGAAGCTCCTCTATTGAAGACTGTAAGAGGCCAAAGAAATGAGACAAAGCAAGTAGTCTAAAACTTTCCCAGAGGGAAATGGCAGCTCTTAAATTCTTGAAATGGGTCTATTATCAAGTAGATCTTCTAAGGATAAAAATAAGTTAAAATTGTTTAATTGGAAAAGCTAAGGATGAGAATGTGCAACATCACTATTCTAGTTTTTCCTACCTTCTCGTATAGAATACAAGGACTCAGATTGCAGGTTATATTGTTACCAAATAGCTACAGAATCCATTGAACTTTTTAATAGAGAATATTTAGAATGCGCTAGAATATTTGGTTAGATTATGTTTAAAGAAAAAAGTTCTATTAATTCTTAACAAATTTAAGAGCAGATCCTGCTCCTAGTGTAGGTGCATTTCACTATTTTCCTTTTTTGTTTTGTTTTGCTAGGAATCCCTATGCTTTGACTTACTGATCAGTTCAGAAAATTAATGCTAACTTAATAATTCTACTTTAGTTTCAACTTGTTAAATGTGATGTTTTCATTATATGTACATATAATTTGATGCTTTTGAATATATATCTTGTTTTTCCTTCTATAAACATCCTAAATCTACAAGGTATCAAAATTGTGACAAAACATGGGGAGATTTTTTTTTAATCACAAGTCTAACATTTACATTTTTTCTTTTTAAGTAGTTATATGAAGGAGTTTCAATTTTAAGAACAGCTTTTAAAATAATAATCGAAACAATAAGTTCTTTGCTTAAGCAGTGGAAAGCCTGCCTAGCAAGCAGGAAGGCCTGAGTTCAAACCCCAGTACTGCCAAGGAGTTAAAAACCCATTCCAACAAAATGTAAGCTAAGCAAACTCTAGAAAAAAGGAAACATTGAGCAGAGCGCTAGTGGCTTACTCTTGTAATCTTAGATACTCAGGAGACTGAGATCTAATGATCGCAGTTCAAAGCTAGCCCAGCCAGGAAATCTTCAATGAACTGCCAAAAAGGTAGAAGTAGAGCTGTGTGACTCAATGGTAGAGTACTAGCTTTGAGCACAAAAGCTCAGGACCAGAGTACACCTTGAGTTCAAGCCTGAGATGGGCGCATGTACACATACACCACCCCGCCAAAAAAGCAAAACATTATATTGAAAATCTTCTTTTATTACAGAATCACAGTAATGAAATTACCTGTCCTTGGGAAAAGAAATAATGTCATGACAAATACTACTATATACTGAATAAGAATCATTGTGAGCTGAGGTGTGTCTCAAACTATAGAGTGCCTACTTAAGGAACTGAGAAGCCCTAGTTCTATCAAAGAAAGAAAAAAAAATCTTTGTGAAAAATCAGTAAAATACTTTAAAAAACAGCAATTAGTTCTACATTTGTGGTAAATGATCTGTAATATAACTTTTAAAAAATGTGTATAAATACAATTAGCATACAGTTCCATAAAGAGTCAGAATTTGTTAGGTCAGTTGATGACAATGAAACAATCTCCCAAAAGGAAAGGAAACTAAATACTATACAAGGAAAGCAGTGACTAACAAGCCTAAATTACCTTCTGTTACTGAGAGTGATTTATTTATTTTTTTACCAAAGTATTTGCTAATAACTGGTATTCCCTTAGTTTAAAAAAAGGTATAATTTGGGGAAAAGAGTGACTATATGAGGATTTTAAAACTTTTCTATCCACTTCTCATTTTTAATATGTGACGATTCATGGCTCAGAGAGATTATAATTCTTAGGAAATATACAAGAAAACCATGTTAAATAACAACAGTGAACCTTGAGGGCATGAGCTTTTGTCACTTTATTGTTAACCAGTGAATATTATCCAAAATTAGAGCTGTAACTGTAATTTTATTGTACAACACAAAATTATGCTAAAGAGCCTACTGGAATTCATCAGATATTCATTAGTGGATTTTTTACATTATATGATAATCATTAGTGGATTTTAACATTGCTATATGAACATATGTTCTTGACTGCTAACGAGAAAAGTTGTAACTGGTTTAATCAGGATGAAAACCCCTACTGTAATGGCTGTTCCTATTTAGAAAATTCACACTGCTTCAAAAATGGATTGAATCCATTTTAATCCTAATCTACTAATAGATTATGAATAGCAAATAAAATTGGTACTATTTTAACACTGAAAAAATCTGTAACAATGGTTGTGCACACAATTCAAATGAGTGGAGTTGAGGTTTTACCAATTTTGAAAATTGCTTTAATGCCTGGGAAAAGCAAACATTTATATTTCAGAGCAAGAATGGTAAGGTCTACCAGAGTGTTTGAAGCGTGTACACAATCACCACACAGCAGCTACTCCAAGATGAACCAGTTATCTTTTGTCCTGGAGACTTCAGAAATATATTAAACAAAACATTTCCTCTTCATGTTTGCCCAGATTAATCCATTAAGTCAGCAAAATCAAAAAAAGCGTAAAAGGTATTTTCAGACACAATTTGAGTCTACTGTGTATGAAAATGTTTAATAAAATGGCATTTTAATAGAGAATGTAAATTTGACTGCACATTACCAAATGGAAAGTAGCTGAACCACACAGAGAAAACAAGGCATTCTGTATCTTCAAATCCAGGTGTTTCACAATAAAAATATTAGAAAATCTTTCTAACAGGAAAGATTTCAGTAAGATATAATTTAAATAAAACCTAAAATTATAATTTCTAAAACAGGATTAACAAACCAAATTTAAGTTTTTTACTTAGATTGAAAGGAAATGAAGTTATTAAGAAACAAATATACTCAAATGATTATGTAATTACCAAATCAAGAAATGAAGATAGACATTCTTAGGCTATAAAGTAATATTCCTTACACACACACACACACACACACACACTCGCACACACGCACACGCGCGCGCGCACACATACGCTCTCTCTCTCTCTCACAGAACACTCCCCCCTCCCCGAAAAATAGTATACCAGTGAAAATTTATCATTTAATACAAATCAGAGCCCACAATCAACTCAACAAAAAGGCAGTTAAAAAATTAGCACTCAGATATTCTGAAGGAAAATGAAATCTCCTAAATATTCCTTCATGATTCACACTGTTTGTATTATAAAACATATAGCTTACACACACCATTGTGTTTGAATAACCAGTCCCCGCACGGGTTGTAGTGAGGTAGTATTTACTGTCCCTTTCTTGGGACTGATGTTTTCATATGCTGCCCTTCCAGAAAGGTCCATGTTTGTTTGTTTAATAATTGAAACCAGTTACCAACAAATATATATTTTCTTTTATTAGACATGTTTTTCAAATCAGCTTATTGAAAAAGCAAGTCTCTGAGTCAGAGACAACATTTTCAGGCAGTGTTTCACTAATCAACTCTCGCAGGAACTACCTGATGTCTGCACCTCTGAAGCGGCAGGCAAAGAAAATCACCAAAGGATTGATAATAGGAAATAAAATACTAATCACTTTATCTGTAAAGATGACTATAATTAAGTAAACAAATAGCAAATATCCAATGTAATTAAACTGGGATTAAGAAAAAAAATAACCCCCAGCTGCACACAGTACTATTAAATATGCTAATCCTTTTCATAATGAAGTCACCTTCTACATAACGATTGTTGACTGCTACCTACCATCATCTTCAACACTGCCAGTCATCTGTGTGACAGCACAATTTATGGCTGTTGGCATGGAGGGCACACTGATAATGTGAGTGAGAGGATGTGGAAACACATGCAGGTAAAACATGAAAAGGGCAAGGGAAAACAGTTCTCATTGAGATGTTCACCATTATCCTTTAAAATGTACAAAGTTGCTCAACCCACACATACACATTTGTCAGACATGATCATTAGTGTTAATCTTCAACAGAAAATAAAATGAAAACTGAAAAATGTGAAAGGAGGTGATGGAACACCATTCTCCATTCTGACCCAAAAGGAAAAGAAAACCAAGTATGATATCGCACTGCCTTAATATTGAAGAGCTCCCCTTAAATTTCCTTTTAGCCACCATAGTCAAACTGGTATAAAAGTGCTTTGGCAAGGTGGGATGCATTCCATCACATCTGCAAAGGCCTGCTTTTCTCTGTTGGTGGTTCAGCTTATGAAGGACATGTATGCAAAATTAACAGCTCTCACATTGCTTCAAACTCATCAATACGTTGCTTTGTGTTGCCTTGTCGAATCTGTCGAAGTGTCTTGTACTTATCACGGCCTGCTTTAACGTTCTCAGCATGAAGAACATCATTTTGTGTTTTCTTGGTTTCATCTCTGGCTTGGGCTAATTCTGAACTTAATGCCTATATTTGAAAAATAAAAAGTATGACTGTTCTTAAACTTTAAGAAAATGGTTTAAAGATGCAAAAACACATATACATGAAATTCTTGACTTCTTAACATATACAACTTTCTGCTGGGAGGTTGTTAATCTTAATTAGGGTGTACAAGCTTACTTTAATTCTAGTAATGGTGATGGAGCTTGAGGAGGAAGACCATGGCCTTCCATTTCTACTTGTCAACCGTAACACTGAAGACTGTGTATTTCCTTTGCCTTCTCATCCAATTAATGAAATAACTTTGTCAAGTTCAAGGTTGTCACTATAGGGGAATATTACTATAAGATCTCAAATCTATACCATGAGGGAAAAGCACTACTATATTTCAACTGCCACCTTACCTTCTTTTCTTTACTAATATTTTAAATATTTTACCACTTAAAAAAGGAAAGCTATAGTAACAGTAAAATTTCTAATCTTGATCTAGTGCTGTGAATTAGCTGGCCATTTCTGCCAAGTAATATGTTCAATGTATTACTTATCTTTGCAATTAAACATGTACTTCTGTTTAACACTCACAAGTTGACCAATGAGCATTTGCAAATACAACCAGATATAGAAAACATGAGACATGACTGGAGGACAAATATAAACCAATCCCAGTGTCAGCAGTGTTTAAAGCTTGTAAACCCTTAAGTTTTTTTGAAGTAGTTGCACCTCAGGTAGAGAAAACAAACTTTTTTATCAAGCAACTTTGGAATACCTGAAGCTGCTTCTTCACGCGCTCGTTCTTCTGGGTCTCTGTCACACGCTCTTCCTCACTCCTGTGGTTCATCACTCCTTCACTGGATAACTCAGCACTGGCCTCCGCATTATTCTCGTCATGCTCATCATGTTCGTTTTCTGTTGGAGGTACGACTGGTGGTGGTGGAGGTGGAGGGGGGGCAGACATCACAGTTTTCAACTCTTCTTTGGTCTTTTCCAAGTCTTCCTGGGCTGCAAAAGCCTGAACGTTAAAAAAATAAGCTGATGAACAACTCTTGATAATTTAAAGAATCATTTTTTCTTACCTAACAAAATTTCAGTAATGAAATCTCTATTCTTACAGAATAGCAGCAAGTAACTTTAAAACCAAATTATACAAAAATAAAATGAGTTCTAGCCATGATTATCCACCATGACTAAAAATGCATGTGCCTGCTTGATATGCAATGCTCAAGAATGCTACACCAAATGTATAAACTGTCTTGGTCTCAGGGTCTGGGTGCTATCTCTGAGCTCTTTCACTTAAGGCTAGTGTTCTACCACTTGAGGTACAGCTCCACTTCCAGCTTTTTGCCAATTAATTGGATAGAATTACTTGGACAGAATTGCCTGGGCTGGCTTTGAACCACAAATCTCACACCAGTCGCTTGGGTAACTGGGATTACAGGCAGGTAACTGGGATTAGCCAGTGACTGGCTAATATAGTCTAATTTTAAATGAATATTCGCTAAAACAAAAATACATGTATAGTAAGACCTCAATTCAAATACATAAGTGTGTACATTCACACACACAGGAATAGTAAAAGTATGTTCTAAGAGGATATACATTAGGGTTTTATAATACTGCAAGATATAATTTTCTCTTCTGTGCATTTCTAATTGTATATAGTAACTGTTTGAAGTTCATAGGACTGGTCTGTAACACATTTTTAAGTTTCTCTCTGAAGCTGTTAAGCCACCTCTAAATAAAGTATAACTTCTAATAACAATAGTAGTCTAATAAGAATAACTGTATCCCTTCTGTAGGCACACATACAATTGTAAAAAGAAAATTTTACAGTAAAAGCATTTTCCATAATTGCACATTTTACTGTAGAAGAATCACAAGTGTATATCTTGGAGCATAAAAATTACAATTGGTGAGTGAATCTTAATTAAGAACTGATGTGATGTAAAGTTTGAATTAAACGATGCTTTCCACCATAGCAAGGATGACATAAATGCATCACCATGCTCAGCTATTGGCTGAGGAAGGGTTTCTTGAATTATTTGTAAGGCTGGCCTAGAACCATGATCCTCCTGAGTAACTAGGATAACAGGCTTGGCCCACCAGGGTCCAGCTTTCTCCTTATCTTGTATGTCTCACCCCTCCAACTAAACATGACTTTACACTTGTGGGCTCCAAAAGGAGACTGTCATGTACTTTGGAACTCTTATCAGCAATATAAATCCTCCCAACAAATGTATATCCCCCAAATGGACGTCACACCTTTTTCCAGTCTATCATAGAATGCCTCTTAACTTTCCCTTCCTATTTTTATCCTAAGTATCCAATATCCCAATCCACCCTTCATATATTATAAACAGGTTACTTTTATAAAATCACACCTGATTCTGCTACAGTGCTGTCTGGAACACTGAGCCCGATGTCTATATGTATTCTCTATGGCCTTGCCTCGGCAGTCAAGATTAGACATGTCTCCCATTTCTGGACCTAAATTCTGAGCACTGGTCATTTATTTTAAACCTATCATAAACATCCGTATTTCCTATACGTAGTCAATTCCTTTCTGTGTGGAATGTTCACTTCTAACTATTCCATATTTTTCCTATCTCCCCAAACTAATTTATTAAAGACCCAGTTTATATGTGTATGGATTCCCTAGACATCTGTCTTGTTCTCACAGAAAGGAAACACCTCTTCTGTATTCCCCAAGTACTGGGCGTAAGCGGAAGCATATTCATCCTTACAAAGTCAGCACAAGGGGCTTAGCAATGAGTACAGAATAGTTAGTCAATAAAAGACATATGATTACTTTGTGTTGCCACTCAGTAGCTTCTTCTTCCTTTTTCTTCTTGGCTTCTTCTAGAAGTGCAATCTTGGCAGTAAATTCAGCAAGTTCTGCTGCCTAAAATCAACAATACAATTACCAAGACTAGAAAAAAACAATATATTTTGAATAAAACGGTTTAACATAATAATATATGCTTCAGTTGTTTTATGTTTTTTCTTGGCTTTCCATTTTTTTTTGGGGGGGGGGAGTCCGGTCGTGGGGCCTGGGCGCTGTCCCTCAACTCTTTAGCTCAAGGCTAGCGCTCTACCGCTTGAGCCACAGCACCACTTCTGGCTTTTTTCTTTTTGCTTATGTGGTGCTGAGGAATCGAACCCAGGGCCTCAGGCATGCAAGGTAAGCACTCTACCACTGAGCCACCTTCCCAGCCCAACTTTCCATTTTTTTAAAAGCAATATTCTTAAAGATCTTAATATCATAGGCTTCTAAAGTAATTAATAAGGAGACAAAGTAAAAATAATTTTTATTAATCTATAGACAAGTAGTTAATCCTGCCCCAAGAGCAGGAACTTAAAATGTGTAACTCAAGTTCTATTTTTATACTTATATTACTAAATTTTTCTTTCATAGATTTTAGCCAATTGTTTAGTTGGCTATTGCAGAACTTACTAAAGTCTAAATGAATATTGAGAATCTTGTTGGCAATGGTCTCCATTTATAAATAAATCATAGATTTGGTTTAGCTTCAGGTTTTCTAAAGACAGAAATGACAAGTTTTAGATTTATCTTGGACTAAGAAAGACCAAAGACAATTCCTTACAAGCTGTTCCTGGTTCTTCATTTGGTCAGCAGCTTGTTTTGCTATAGCAGATTTGGCCTCTTCAGCAGCCCGACGCTCCTTTTCTAGCCGTTCTGCTTCTTCTTTTGCTCGCTTTCGTTCCTGATCCAGTTCTAGAGCTTTTCGGGTCTGTTCTTCTAGTTCTGTGTGTTATATATACACACAAACACATTATATATACACATATATGTATATTTGTGTATATATATGTGTATATGTGTGTATATATATTCACAATACCCAAAGGATAATTAATTCTCATTCTCATTACTGGGTAATACCAACACAGTAGCCAAGAATCTTCTGTGAACAGCTTAAAACTTAGCATCTATCTTAATACATTAATCTGAATTAATTTTGACCTTTGTTAAAAAGACTAGCAGTTTTAAGGAATCTATTAAGTAGTTTAACCAGGCATGGTAGCTCATGTCTGCAGTCCTAACTACTCAGGAGGTAAATGGGGAGAGATCATGGTCTGAGACTAGCCTAGGGCAAAAGTAAGGGCATAACAGATAAATAACAATGCCTGCTTAGGAAGCATGAGACCATGAGTTCAAATTCCAGTCCTACATCCCATCCTTCCCCCTTAAAAAAACACCTGCAAAGACAAGAAAACATTTTGTAATTCCAGTTATGTCAAAATTAGAAGCATATACCTTTATTAGAAAAAATTAACCTCTCTATTTGAAGCTGACTTCAAGACGACAAAAACTTCAAAAAAAAGGTGGAGAGAACTGGTTGTGACTCAGTAGTGCACTTGCTGAGTGTTAGTTTCGAGTGTTTACAACAGACTGAAAGCACAAATTAGGGATGGGACCCAATCTAAACACGAACTCCTTGCTTATGTATACCTTATATATACAGCATGATGGCAATTTTATGCAGTGTTTCTAGTGCACCTATGTTGTAAATGAGACCTGTGACGTGTGGCCAAGTGTGGAATTTTCTACTCATGGCATCAAGTAAGCACTCAAACTTTTGGGTTTGGGGCATTTTGTATCTTTAACTTTATTAGAGAACAGCAGTCTAAGAAAAATCTAAGAAATGAAGTTCCTAAATGAATTACTAAAAACTGTTACTGGCATAGATACATTCCTAAGGCATGATGACATGAATTCATGTAAACAAACCAGTTTAAAGAATTGAAAGCAGGATCTCAAACATTTGCATTCCCGTATTAGTAGTGCCATTCTTCACATCAGTTAAAATGTAAAAGCAACTCAAGCATCAACAGAGGCCCAGCCCAGTCTTTTAAGAAGGAAATCCTGACAGGGTCCAACATGGATACACCTCAAGACCATTATGCTAAGTGACGTGAGCCAGTTACTAAAAGACAAACAGTACAGGATTCCACATAGCAGGTAGAATAAGCAAAATCATAAAGGCAAGTAGCTGCTGGGGGCGTCAGGCAGTGAAGAATAAGAGGTTACTGTTTAACAGGTAGAGTTTTGGTTTTATAAGTTCAAGAGTTACAGAAAGTAGTAAATGCTCAAAACAAATATATGTACTATCACTGAAAGATAAATTTAGAAATGGTAAGTTAGTTTTTTGGTTTTTTTTGGTCTTTCGTGGGGCCTGAGCTCTGGGCTTCAGCTCTTCAGCTCAAGGCTAGCCCTACCACTTGAGCCACAGCACCACTACCAGCGTTTTTCTGCTTATGTGGTGTTGAGCAATCAAACCCAGGCCTCGTGCATGAGAGGCAAGCACTCTTCCACTGAGCCCAAGATAGTAAATTTTATGATGTGTACTTTTTATTGCAACAATAAGACAAATTATACAGTGCTTGATTTCATAACAAAATCTGTAACTGACAAAGCCAGGGAAATAAGTTTGGATTACAAAGTTAAATTTTGACAAAATGTGTTCATTCCCTAATGATATTTTTATCAGCTTTTAAAATGTCTTTAAATTTTTCAAATGGTAGATAAATCAATAGCTGCCTGACAGTATACCAAAAATTTAAATAAAAATCTGGTAAGTTTCTTTTAAAATGTTGTAGATGAACTTTGAAAACATGAGATCTATCCTAGTCTTCTCTGGAAAAGAAGGTTTTGATGAGCCACATAGCTCATAAATGATTCCCTTTCTATTTAACTGGTAAGAATGAGCCAAACCTCAAGCCTTTCTTGGAAGACCATGTTTTACTGGAGGCTCATCCATGCACACTCATTCAGGTATTCTAGATGAATGCTTTCACACTGTGGGGACATAAGGCCTATGTATCCTAACTATTTGCTCAATCAGGCCATGGTTCAGTAAAAACCACTGCAAAGGAGATTAAAATGAGATGAATTATCAATATTTTGCCTATTTTGCTCATAAAAATCTAGAATTACAGTAGAACTTATCAATGAGTCTGGCTTTTTTAGAATAGCAGTTCATGTTGATAAGAGAATTAAAGCTTTGCCCCTAATTATATATCTAAAGTCAACACAGTAGGTAGGTATCATATTATCTATCATAGTTGATTCAAACTAAATGATTTTACCATTTGTTTAGGTTATTGGTGGCCCCTCAATAAAATAAAAGCCGCATGAAAACAGGGAGGAGACTTTCTGTGTTCAGTTCATCTAGTACAATGCGTAGCACACACAGGTACTTTACTAAATATCCAGAATGAAAGAAGTCATTATAGTCCAGAATTTCTTCTATAGTTTGTCTTATTGGAGATGAGAGTTCATTTTGATATCTACTGGTAAGAGTAACTGACACAGGTTGGGATATATTTCATGTCAAATGTATCATCAGGATGATTAAAAATCATAAATGAAGTTATGTAACAGTGCTGGCTAATGTGTAAAAAAAGTTTCTTAAAAACAGTTTATTCCATGAAGCATCACTAATTAGGTATAGCCAAAGTTAATGCATTTGAATGGGAAGCTAAGCACAGATTAGAATAATCATGTAGCTTTTCAGACAGCTGAGCAAAGCCTTATTAGAAAAAACAAAAACAAACTGGATGTCCTTTGCCTTAAGATGACTGATTTGAATTGTCTTGATAGGGATGGTCTATATTCTTTCTCATGGTCTAGCTTTCTTATAATCTTCAGGGCTTCTTTGAGTGGTTTTTTGTAATGAAAATCATTAATATTTTTATTATACATCCTAAATAAATGAGATTGAAAGATTTAGTAAGCAACGATGTAAGAGTTGTATGATTTAATCTTAACATCGGTTAGTGTAAGGCAGATTATTCTGAGCACGTGGTGCTGACCTCAGGTTACTTGTTTAAATGTGAGTCCCCTCTGGGATACATTGCCAATCCACACATTTCATCATTATTTCTGCTTAGTCATGTGGCACTTACCACATAAGATCTCACTTTACTTATATACATATATTTTAATAAACTACACCTTTGTTTCCATACATGCTAAATGCTTCTATTTGCACAATACAACTTAAAGTAGACATTTCATACATATTTGATTACACTGCACCTGAAGTGGGAGAAATAGAATCAAATTGGAACTCAAGAAACAATTTCTGCTCTGAGGCTGGCCTGTGAACAAATGTTTCACAGGCAACTGGACGCTAAACTTAGTTTCCAATTCTATAGCTCTGAGAAGTATGGCTTTAGTACTAAGAAAATTCAGTGTTTCTAAGAGAACAGGGGTTAAAAAAGCTATTTCTAATCCATTTGGAATTAGAACAACCAATCATCTTTCTGACTTTCCTTCTGGTCACCTCTGAAGACAAATAGGGGTTTATTTAAGAAACTACTATTTTCCACAGTTGAATGACTAGTTCTGGTTGTCAGAAAATTAGATTTACAATCATAGATGGCATATTACCCTGAGATCTTAATGCTTAGAAAGGTCCAAAACATTTTACTTTGTTCAATGTTTTATTTTGCTCTGCTACCTTAGTAAAAGTGGTATATCCTAAAGTTATTTCATATAAACCGCTCAATATATCCTTTATATGCTTTCTACACACTCTATAGTATTTTGGCTACATGCTGCCTGGGTAATTACCAAAAGCAAACAAAAAACAGAGTTCCTCTATCTGGTGATCAAACCCAGGGGCTCACACATGCTAGAATGCCTCCAACTTGAATGTATTCTAATATAAAGTCTTTTTCTAGGAGTCCTTTCAAAAATTTTTGTATAGTCATAACAAGAAAAAACATTTTCAAGTACTTAAATTTTCATGAAGCACTCTATAAATGCCTTTGTTTAAATGCTGTAAGGTATAGAATGTGGTTTTATTTTTGAAAACTTCAATAGTAGTAAGTCTAAACTAAATGAAAGAAAGGAGCACCACAGAATTCAAAAGTGCCTTAAACATATGTGATTTCACCCGTCTGGCTTACAACAGTGCACCTGTCCTTACATGACAAATAAAACGGCATGGAAATGCTACCTTGGGATCACAGATCATGTCTAAAAGCAGCTTACCTTGAGGTCACCAAGTGAGGGCCTCGCCCTCATGTCTAAAAGCAGCTTACCTTGAGATCACAGAGTGAGGGCCTCGCCCTCCTGTCTAAAAGCAGCTTACCTTGAGGTCACCGAGTGGGGGTCGCCCTCCTGTCTAAAGGCAGCTTACCTTTTTGGGCTTTCATCGTCTGCTCTTCAATTTGCCTCAAGCGCTCCATTAGTTCATCCTTTTCACGTTCTATTCTTTCTTTTTCCTTTTCTGCTATTTCTCTCTTTTTCTTTTCATTTTCTAATTGTGCCCTTAGAAGGAATTGCAATTTCTATGTTACAAATTTGAAAGGTTAAATACACTTATATCCAAAATATGGAATGCTAAAAATATAGGGCGATGCTGTTACACTCATGAGTTCATTGTAGGGTCATTGTAGGGTTCATTGCTGGGTTCATTGTAGGGTTCATTGCTGGGTTCATTGTAGGGTCATAATGAAAACAGGTAACTATTAAAAACTTAGAACATTATAGAACATAGAAAATGGTATACAGAGCCTATTTTTAAGGCAATGGGGGATTTTCCCCTTATATATAGGATGAACTCTGACAATTGATATGTCAACATCCTAAAAGCTGTACAGCGCCAGGTGCCAGTGGCTTATGCCTATAATTCTAGCTACTCAGGAGGCTGAGATCTGAGGTTCAAAGCCAGCCTGGGCAGGAAACTCTACGAGACTCTTATCTCCAATGAACAATCAGAAAACTGGAAGTGGCACTGTGGCTCAAGTGGTAGAGCACTCGTCTTGAGCTGAAGAGTGCAGGGCCAGCGTCCAATCCCAGAGTTCAAGCCCCACAACCGACAAGAAAACCCCCAAAAAACTGTACAGTTGCCTACCCCAGGAAAGTGCCTTCTTAAGATTAGCAGGAGCCTTCCAGTGGGCAAATAACAAAGGTTTAAAGGAAACACAAGTATCCTAAACAGGAAAATGGCCTGGAAGGTCAATGATTTCCAGTAGTTGAAATGAGTTAACAAAAATTTGGGGTAGTACCCTTTACGCCTAGAATAAAATGAATTTAACAATTTTGACAACTTCATTAGAATGTCAACAGATATTTAATGCTGTTAAAAAAAAAAAAGATGACCAGAGCTCCATGAGAAATAATGCTAAGCTGTATTTGTGAAGGGCCTGAGTGTTTCTTTTAAATATAGCCAAATTCATTGATGCTATATCTACCAATATCCCACGATGGGTCAGACTCATGCTGTGGCCCAAAGCCAAAAAGATGAAGAGAAGTCAGATGTGAGACTGTTACTTAATATGTTTGACCTATGTTCAAATTACTACTTCAATATCAATGAGAGTAATTTTCCCATTAAAAAATATCGGTTTGGTTTATCTCTAACACTTGTTCAACTTTTCACAAAAGACATTACTGCCATCTAGTGTTAATTTTGAATTCCAGGCACAAAAGCACATTTCTAGTCTGTTTTACATTACAAACCTACATTATGAAATTCCTACAGGTTCTAGATACCCATCTGCACCTATTTGACTTTGGAGCAAACAAAAGTGCTCTAAGTCTGCAAACTACAAGACAAATACCCTGCTATACATACATCAGGCTACACAGGAAGTGTAAAGGACCCCATTCCAGCACTTAAGAAGTAAGGGCTTTGAACTCACTCATGCCTGGAAAGCTCTTCAGTTTCCTACAAGGTACTTCCCAACACCCAGGAGAAAGAGCCCCTGGGACTTGAGACTACAGCATGTTCTTTCAACCTAAAAAGCATATATAAGCAGAGCTGATTTGGAGGTTTCTGCCCATTAGAAAAGCTAAATGATAAAGTTTAATAGAATGTTCATTTCCCAGTTTCCTCGGCAAAAGTCTAGAGGCTGCTGTTCACCACCAAAGGATGTTGATCAGCCAATCCCATTCATACCCATGGCTACCATGTACATCCCCAGACCGTGACTTTCCTGTCTTCTGCCAGGACCCAAGATACATCTAAAGAATTTAATGTGTAAAACCAAATCTTGAGACCTGCAGAGCACTTCAGGTCCAGCTCTCAAATATGGAGCCTCTTCTTGGAATGGGTTCTGGTTTTATTTAGCTTTTCCGAACCGATGCTACTTTCACCCTCCTACAGGGGATGAAGGTGAATGAGATGAGGAAGCAGAAAGACTAATGGAACCCTGGCCAGAAGCAAGATGAGGGCAAAAATCTTACTGAAAAATGGAGTAAGTGTGCCATTTTTCTCTGACATATAAAGCAAGGACTAAATGAAAACTGGTCATACCATTCCTAAAAGATTGCCAATCCTGAGGTAGCTAGAATAATAGATAGTTACTGAATACCTACTGTGTACAAGAAGTTCTCATGGAAGTGCATAGTACATATCCAAAAGAAACGATAGATTATTATGCCAGAAAAGAAACTGTTATCTTCTGTTTCCTTCCTGGCCTCAATAAAACGGAACTACAGCACTATTACCAAATTGTACTGATTAAGCAGACTATTAAGAAAGCCACAACGTACTACTATCTATGTGATGAGAATAAAGGGCAGACAGACATCCAGTGCAGAACATTGCACGTAGGTAACTCTTCCTTAATGATAAAAGACCTTAAATAAAGACCATGTATAAGAATAGAACCACAAAATCCAAAAGCACACAACTGTAAAAATTACTCCATTCCCACAGATCATAGTGCCTTAAAATTACTTCCTTAATAAATGTTAAATCTGAGTCTTTGTTTTTCCAAATAAAGCATAAACTAAATTAATCTAAACTCAAACTCACGAAGTGTGTTGTTTGGACCCAGTAATCTGACTCCAGGGTTGATAGGACTTTAAGCAATTCATTCCATTTTTAAAACTCTCAATGACATCTTATTCAAAATTAGAGAAACACTCAGTATCTAATTTTTCAGCTGAGTTATTTCAAAGTTAAACATGTAGTACATACTTATCCTAAAATTAATTTTTTTTTCTTGGGTCCGGTCATGGGGCCTAAACTCTGGGCCTGGGCGCTGTCCCTCAGCTCTTCAGCTCAAGGGTAGTGCTCTACCACTTGAGCCACAGCGCCACTTCCGGCTTTTTTCTTTGTGCTTATGTGGTGCTGAGGAATCAAACGCAGGGCCTCATGCATGCAAGGCAAGCGCTCTACCACTGAGCCACCTTCCCAGCCCCAAGAAATGTTATAAGTAAAAGAAATCTGAAAATTTCAAACTACTCTAAGAAAAAGACATCTATGAAGTTGTAAAGAGCTGTTTCTTAGAAATATGTCAATTTCTACCTCAAAAATTACATACTCAACATTGTCTTTCAATCTTAATACAGTGAAAAGAATCACATGAAATTAAGAGTACATCAATTAAAATAAAAGGCTATAAATGCATACCTTTCCAACTGTTTTTGATGTTTCTCCTCCCTAGCCTGAGCCTTCATCTGCTGTACTTCAATAGTATCAGGCTTCCTTCTTCGCATGTATAGTTCATGGTTTCCCATACACAAGGCCAAAATCCGCTTATTGATTCTCAGGCGAGGTGCATAAAAAACAAAATCCTGAACACAAAATGTTCCAAATTTAAATACTTCCTAGGATAATAGTTCACAACAATTCACTGAATTTCAAAGTGAAGTTTGAGTCCTAATGGCATGGTAGATAATGGTTCAATTTCACAGTTCCATATATACTTCCGTACAAATAAGACACTCACTACTTCGTGTTCTGAGGGTTATGGAAAGGGGCTAACATGTTCTCAATGTAGAGATAGTGAGTGTCATTCTTTCTTCTTCTCCACAGTAACTATGAGCATCTCTCCTTCCACACGAGAGGAGGAGGTTTATGGTTTGCCTTTGTCATTAATGTCAAAGTTGGTCCTTGTTTATGGCTGTTTTCTATGACTTAGAAATGTCCTCTCTTTCATCTTTTCAATAACTAAAAAAGCAGTAGAGTATATCTGTTCTGACACCAAAGAATTTTTAAAAATCTGTTGAAATCTAAAGTCAATGCTTCAAAATTAGAATCCTTCACACAATATTCTAGGAAGAGTTAATTTTGGAATAGGGCTATCTCTACATTCTAGTGACCAATAAACAATTAATAATTTTTAGAAACTGTTTCTTAGGAATAGTGATTGTATATCACCTACTTCATAACTGAATTTCATTAAAATAAAACTATCTCGTAAAAATGTAAACCTTGTGCTTTCATAATCTTCATTACTGCAGCACTTAGAAACACTTGAAAACTTAAAGTATGGAAAGACCTAAGATCATGTTCCTAGAAGCAATTTAGTAAGTGATTGATGTCATCTTCCAGAAACTAGCAGAAATTCAAAGAATACATAAAACACGAGGAAAAGAAACCATTCTACTTACAGGTGCCTTTTTATCAATTGGCTTTATAACAAACTTTTTGTCATTAAATGAAATATTGCGGATCTCACTCCATGGAAAACCAATTTTAGGTGTTAACCTTAAAAAAATGAGAATATCCTTTCAATTAATGGCAGAAAACAATTGACAAAGTTCCTAACTTTGAGCTACCCTTGCTCAATGACCAAGTACAGATTTTTCTAAAGATATCTTACTATACATTTGACATCATCTTTTAAGGGGAAATGTGACAAATTACATCACATAAAACCATATAATACAAAGACTCATGAATGTATGATTAACCTTAGAAGCATTATAGTTATTTTCCTAAAATTACCTAACAAAACTATCTGGAAACCAGTGTATAGACTTGTACTTCTTGCTTTAGTTCTATTCAGTTTTTATTCTGTTTTCTCTCAAATTACTACAACCATTAGTTTAAATACATTTAAGCAGGCGAAAAGACAGTGACTTCTAATTCTGGATATAAATGATTTTCTTTTGTTTAACTCTTAAATATTTGCATATATGTTTCAAACACTGGATTTCACTATATCATAAAAGGATTATGGTGTGTGAATTGTATCACAAAGAATTTTAAAGAATTTTAAGATATAGAGTTGGCTAAGTGGTAGAGCTAGAATTCAAACTCAAAAACAAGTCCTTACTAGCTGGGCACTGGTGGCTCATGCCTGTAATCCTAGCTACTCAGGAGGCTGAGATCTGAGGATCGCGGTTCAAACCTAGCCCAGGCAGGAAAGTCCATGAGACTCTTATCTCCAATAAACCACTAGAAAAAAACCAGAAGTGGCGCTGTGGCTCAAGTGGTACAGTGCTCGCCGTGAGCTCAAGAGTGCAGGGACAGCGCCCAAACCCAGAGGTCAAGCCCCACGACCAACCAAAACCAAAACCAAAAACCAAGTCCTTGCTTTCTCCACAACCTCCTCTTCTTCTCTAGTGCTGGGAGTGCTGAAGTGTGCCACTGATCCTGGCATTGTTTTCCCTTGTTACCATTCTACATAGAAATAGACCTAGTCTAGGGCTGGGAAGGTGGCTCAGTGGTAGAGCGCTTGTCTTGCATGCATGAGGCCCTGCGTTTGATTCCTCAGCACCACATAAGCACAAAGAAAAAAGCTGGAAGTGGCGCTGTGGCTCAAGTGGTAGAGCACTAGCCTTGAGCTGAAGAGCTGAGGGACAGTGCCCAGGCCCAGAGTTCAGGCCCCACGACTGGACCCCCCCCCCAAAAAAAAGAAAGAAATAGACCTAGTCTAGAATAATTGTTTCTGCTTTTCTTGTATTTACTGTTATTTTAAAAAAGTCATCAAATGAATCATTATTCTAAACACAAGAGTGAAAATGACTCTGACACTAACATTTACCAAAAGGTATATGTTAGCTGGCTTCTGATAATAGAACAAGAATTCCTAACTATTTATACTACTTTTAACACAAACTGAAGGTACTGCAGTACAACAAATTATTTTTTCTATGTAAAACATTCTGAAATCAAGATGCATGTGTTTTATTGCCCTCTAATGGTCACAGAAAAAAGTAACCTGCTTGAAAAGGCTACAGACCACTTTTAAAGTAACAAATACCATGCTACATTTATGTGCTACTTAAAACAAGTGACCAGTATAATTCTCAGCAATCTTTAACATGAACCTGGGAACTAATACAAACCCCACAACCGGCAAAAAACAACAAACAAACAAACCACCTTTGAAAAAGAAGACTGCCATGTATGGTGACACTAACAAAATGCTTGAGTAACTCAAGCTTCGAGGGTCAACCCAGCAAATTAAAGACTCTCAGTTCAAACTCCGGTAGCAACACACAGTAAAACATAAAAGATAGTCAACCTCAAAATATTAGACTGTTCACTATGCATACTACCAGGAATATTTTCTTTAATTGATATCTAAAAATACCTAACATTTAACATGTGCTCTAAAATTCAATACCCATCTATTAGTTCTGTTCTCTCATTGCTCCTGATTTCTTATATGTTAATTTTTCTTTTTTTTCAACCATAACATTTAAGGAATTATTCCTGACTTGTTGGGAGAATAAGTTTTGAATAAGGTACTACACATGATTCAGAGACAAATGAGCACACATTAAATAACATCAAAATGTGCCATTTGAAGAATACACCTAGAAGCAGAACTCTGAAATTGCAATGTGCTACAAAAATGGAAATATGGTATCAAAAAGTCTGTGGTGGCTGGTAATGTGCCTTATTGATAGAGTGCTTGCCTAGCATGAATAAAGCCCTGGGTTTGTTTCCTCAGTACCACATACACAGAAAAAGCTGGAAGTGTGCTGTGGTTCAAATGCTAAGAGTGCTAGCCTTGAGTAAAGCAGCTCAGGGACAGTGCCTAGACCCTGAGTTCAAGACCCAGGACTGGCAAAAAAAAAAAAGAAAAAGGAAAAAAAAAGTCTGTGGCATAGTTAATGCCTAACAGATTAGTTAATGCCTAACAGATTAATCTGTTAATGTGAAAAAAAGCAAAGCTAAGACAAGACACAACTATCAAACCGTGTAATTTGGAAGCTATTTAGACCACTAAAGAATGACTAGCTCCTTATGAAAAGAATTTACTTACTTGTCATCATGCTCATAAATATTCAGACCCAAAGCATCAACACCTAGCCATAATTCAGTACCCTTTTTATTCTTTATTTCAAAATAGTTGACGCCGTACATTTCTAGATCTTGTGCAATCTTCAAGTATTCCATCATTGAATCTTCCCTGTTGAAATAAAGCTTAATGTAATACATTTAAGTAGAAGCACCTACACATCAAACTAAAAGTGCTAACGTACCTTGGATTAAAACTGAGTATTGTTATTTACTCTTCCCAATCAAATTGTTTGGGAGGATAATCTGATATAATGTTAAAGTTTTCATGAAAATACTTATAAACTTGAAATACCTTAGCATCCCTCTATGTTCTTCATGCCAGTTTTGTATTCTTTCTTCCCACTGTTCTTTTGTCAATTTGTGTTGTTCCAAAACACTACAAGGAAGAAAAATTTATTACAAAGTATTTATGATCCAAAATCAATATACCTTTAAAAGTCTAGAATCCATTTACTAACTTGATTCTAGTGGTTGTCATACAGATCAATATATGTGATAAAACTGAATAGAAAGAAATGCATACACACAAGTAAGAACATGTAAAACTGATGAGATCATAGTAGGCAGTAGCTTTTGTCAAGTTATCCTGACTGTGATTCTGTATTAGTTAGCACAAGATGTTTCCATTAAGGAAGGGTTCTTTTGAAGGATTTTTTTTTTTTTTACAAATGCATCTGGAATCTACAAATATCTCAGAACAAAAAGGTTCTAGATAGCTTACATTTTAAATATCATGCTTTAAAAATGCCTACTGTAAAAACTTTTCATAGGAATTCAAATGTTTCAAATACATTAATATGTTGTACCAAAATGGTTTCTCATTAACAGAAAAGTTAAAAGTACAGGAAGAAAAACAGAATTTCTTTAGAGCTAAAGGACTATTTAGACTCACTAACGTACTTTTTACACCTGACACCCACTGCCTGCAATCCACCAACATGTGGGCTTCACCTCCAAATTTCTCACAAAAGCCACTAAATACTAAATCCACCTGATACTTTAGTTTCTGCCGTTCTAACTTGGCTTCCATATATAATACTTTCTTACTTAGTCTTATTTGTGAATCTCTATTTTTTCTCAGTATTCCCTATAAGGCCCTCTTCCTCTGCACTCACAAATTTGAGATCCGAAAGGGTCTATCCTACATGTTTTTCTCACTTTACATCTACTTCAAATCATTCTTCATTCCCATGCATTCACCACCTCCTATTTGCTGATTAATCTCAAAACTTTTAATAAAGTACACACTGCTCTAAATACTAAATTTTTTATATATTTCACACTTGGTAGTATCAAAACTGAGTCTGCCCTCCTTTCAAATTTGTATGTTCTTTTCCTTGATAAAAAGTATTACCAACTAGCTACCACACCAAGACAGAACCTAGCAGAGAAAACTACGCAAACCTAGCTCTTTTCAGAAAGACGTAATACTATGTGGCAGAGTTCATTGTCCATATTACCAGAAACTAAATTCTGTAGAATACTAGATTCTCATCCAGGTTTTCTATATAGGGAGCAGCAGACCCTCTCTCTAGGTTCTGAAAGAAAGATCTAAATACACTTTCTAGTATTAAGAGTGTATGCTATGAAAATTAAAAATCAGGGTGCTGGAAAGCATTATTTGATGTTGCATTTTCTAGATATCAAATAACCAAACACTTGTACCATGCCTTACAGTTAAAACTAAACCATGAGGTGTATTTATAAACTAGGCATGGGCAAGACTAGATCATAGGTGGGACAGAATTATTATCCCCACTTTACAGATTTAGATAGGATCAAATACTTTGGGTTGCACATCTATGTCACATAACTAGCAGAGGGAAGAATGCAGGTAGAAGGCTTAGTGTCCTGTCACTGACTTCCCCTGTGCTATGCACAGGGTATTGACAGTATTGCACTATGATGACAGCACCAATGAGGAGTCTGAAGCCTACCTGAGAGCCTTTTCATAAACCTAAACACCTACTGTGAAAGAAACACAGCCTGACACTTATTCTCAAAACAGTTATTAAGCACTGATCTGCCCGTGCTGGAATATTACCAAGTGGCAACCATTTACACACCCTTCCTTCAAGCCCAAATTGTAGTCTCTTTTACTGCCTATCCTACGGAAATAGAGAAGAGCACATAAATATAAGTAAGCAGCTAAGTCATGACTGTTAAGTTTATTTAGTCTAACTGGCAGTTTTAAGATCCCAAAATGCATTTAATAAACAGACTATAACATGAAGACACATTCCACTTACCGCTGGGGTAGGAGTCTGTCATTAGCCAGGTAACCTGATTTGTGAATCTCCTTATTGTAATCTCCATATTTGGCTTGGACAGCATAGGAAGCCAAAAGAACGGCAGTTTCTGGTGGGCAATATATCTCATCATTCAAGATGGCTTCTTTAACTTGCAAGAAGAAAAGTCTCTGCGTTATTTCTTGGATTAATTCTTCAGAAACATCTTCAGGAAAGAATTTAGCTCTAAACTTGAATTGCAAAGGATTCTCTTTTTTAACATCTTGTTGTGTTACCTAGAATAATAATTTCAAGTATAATCAGAAAAAAATTAATGTATGGAAAGAAAGGGGGTTGAGGGGGTAGGTCTGGAATATAGTGTGAAACTAACAATGAAATCTCCCCATAAGTAATTCATATTTTTCTAGTCACACTGAATTCTTTTTGGGGAGAAAGTGAGACATGAAATAAAAGATTCTAAATTTCTATGTTAAAGTTCTAAATAATGACTACTTATAATCACAGATCCCACTGAGGAACCTAACCGAAAACCTCTCTTCATAGTCCTGCGTCAGTTACTTAATTACACCAACATACTTATTTTAGATACTTTCTCTTACATGCTAAATTTTCCAAATAGAAAAAAGATGAAAGCTGATGTTGCCTAAATGAATTTAAGGACATGACACTGGTAAAGCTTAAGAGAGACTGTGCCCAGTGCTAGTGGCTCATGCCTATAATCCTATTTAGGAGGCTGAGATGAGAATCAATGTTTGAAGCTAACCTGGGCAGGAAAGTCTATGAGACTTTTATCTCCAATTAACAAGCAAAAAGCCAGAAGTTAAGGTATGGCCCAAGTGGTAAAGCATAGCTTTGAGCAAAAAAGCCAGAGGTCCTTTAGTCAAATTCAACCTCCAATACTGGCAAAACAGAGGAGAGACAGAGAATTGTAAAGGAGGGCTTGAACTCTGCCCTTTTACTTTCCAGGACAAATTCATGATTATGATAAATTAACTTTATTATTAAGTTTAATTTTATTATACATTTTACCTTTTTATTCAGTTTAAGCCATGTAGAATAACCTTTGCTGTCTACATACTGCAGCCCAAAAAACCAGACCTCACGCAAACCAACTGTTTTCACCACCTAAAAAAAAAAAATAAATTATTCAGTTCAACATCCACATTGTAACTAGGTGACACCAGACACTATTGCAAAGAATACTACACAGATTGAGGCATATTCCTTTGCTACAGAAAAGGCCTTTTCTAAATTTAACATATTCAAGGAACATTCCTAAAACCTGAAATCCAGATTTTCTGTGTTCCTTACTTGACTTGCTCTCAAATCTCAACAAGTAACAAGTCCTAAAGTAAAAACAGTGTCATAATCCTGCACTCCTGTTTCTATTCACCCTATTTGTGCCTTGTATTTGGGGCAAAGCCTATCTGGGTGGTAAATCTGATATATCCAATATTCTACCTGTACTGAGCAAGAACTCCATCTTGGAACATGCTGTAACTTTCACCCTTTATCTCCAGTTATGTTTTTGTCCCTAGCACAAAATGTTCCTCCTATACCTTTTAGCACATGTACAATAAATCTACTCTTCAAAGCCTAGTTCAACTAATATGCCTACTGTAAAAAAGTGTTCATTGTTCTCACTACTTACTCATTCTCTGATGGTCCTGGAGTTTCTACTGATATAGGACACCTGTCTGTCCTGACACCACTGATGGCAGCGATCAGTGGAGCATCTGTTTTCTGTCTTTCACTGTCTAACACTTAAGGACAGAAATTACTATTTTAAAATGCACTTAAATATTCACATCTCAAATAATGCTGACTGGCCTGTGGGAGGCACTCTACATAAAGTGCTATAGTAAACTAGGATCCTCAGAACTACCCCACACTTAACCAAAACCACTTGTCAAAAGGAACAAACAATAACAAACAACAACATACACACAAACTCTTTTTTTTGTCGGTCCTGGGGCTTGAACTCTGGGCCTGGGCGCTGTCCCTCAGCTCTTTGGCTCAAGGCGAGTGCTCTACCACTTGAGCTACAGCGCCACTTCCGGCTTTCTGGTGGTTTACTGGAGACAGGAGTCTCACGGTCTCTCCTGCTTGGGCTGGCTTTGAACTGTGATCCTCAGATCTCAGCCTCCTGAGTAGCTAGGATTACAGGCGTGAGCCACCAGCGCCCGGCTTTACACACAAACTCTTTAAACAACACACACACACCAAAAAGTCTACACACACACACACACCAACACACCCACACACACACCAAAAAGTCTTTAAAATAAAACATTCTGGGTTTCCTTTTTTCTTTGCCAGACTTGAACTCTGGGCCTGGGTGCTGTCCCTGAGCTCCTAGGCATGCCAGCTTTTTCTGTGATTAATTAGAGATGAGAGTTTCATGGACTTTCCTGCCCGGGCTTGGCTTTGAACTGCTATCCTCAGATCTCAGCCTCCTGAGTATCTAGGATTACAGGTATGAATCATCAGTGCCTGGCTCTTGGTTTCTTTCTTTTTTTTTTTTTTTTGGGTCCGGTCGTGGGACTTGAACTCTGGGCCTGGGTGCTGTCCCTCAGCTCTTCAGCTCAAGGCAAGCGCTCTACCACTTGAGCCACAGTGCCACTTCCGGCTTTTTTTTCTTTTTTGCTTATGTGGTACTGAGGAATTGAACTCAGGGCCTCAGGCATGCAAGGCAAGCACTCTACCACTGAGCCACCTTCCCAGCCCCTGGTTTCTTTTTTAAGATAAAATATTATAGGACTTTGGTTTCAAATAGCAAAGTAAAGCATTCTGTTTATTTTTAAAATTTTCACTGAAATAATGTATACAGACAATATAAAAAAAGAAAACTATGCTAAAATACACTAAATGTTCATTTCTGGAGACTATAGAACATAAAGATTCGTGATATAAAAGCAAACCAGTCTTAAACACTGAGAGGTTTCATATGGACAGTCAAGTGAGTAACTTCATGTTAGCAAATGGAAGCCGTCCAAGCCAAGCCTCAGCCAACACTGAAGCTCAGCACAGCCAGACCTGGAGCTAGCACTATGATGGCCCAGAGCATATGAAAGTGGGGCCAAGCAACTGCCCAGCTTTGCCCCAGCCCCAAGGCTAGCCCCAGCAGGCACAAGGGAAAGACGAGCAGGAGGGGCCAGCGAGTTCAGCTAGGAAATTCCCCAACAGCCCTTAGCTCCCCAGTGCTTTTCTCCTACTTCTAGGTCCAATTAGAAATTTCTCATGACATAGTTTAAAGTGTAACTGCTGGCACATAACTACATGTGTATTCACTTATAAAACATAAACAAACATGCTAATAAACTACAAAGCATATACTTTTTAAAGGATTTTAGGTGATAAAAACATTTTATTACTTCATATACCCTAACATTTTCTTGTGGACTCCTTGGTGCATGAATACTCTGTATTTTAATCCTCCAGGTAAAAGCTACATGAAGCTAATAAAGGGAGAGTCAAACAAAAAGTCAAGATGCACTTAATATGAGAACCCCCAACACACAGGAGCTAGCCTCAATCTAACCACCTGCAATTATTTATAAACCCAGCTATTCAGGAGTCAGACTAAGTAAGGGAAAAAGCTAAAGACCCTATCTTAAAAACAAGACAGGCACGTTGGTTCACAGTTGTAATCATAGCTATTTGGGTGTCAGAGATTGGAGGATTACCATCCAAAGCTGGTTACCCTACTGGAAAAACAAACTAAACAAAAAGAACTGGAGGGCATGGCTCAAGGTGTACAGAGACTAAATTCACTCCCCAGTACTGTGAAAAAAAAGTGGAATTTCATACCATGTGGATGAACTCTTGAGAGGACTTAGTCTGTTCCTGTCCCACCTGAACAAACCTACGGGCTAGCTTATCCCACTGCTCACACGCCCAAGGTAAATAAAGCCTGCTCACAAATTCTTGCATTTGGGCTCAAGGGAAATAGTCAAGAAACTGAACTGTGGCTGAGAATTGCTGAGAATAGTCTAAAACAGACGAAAATCCTCAATAATTTACACTATTAATTATAGAACAATCAACTACTGTTCAATGTATTTTACATGGATTCTCACAATTGACTTTGGAAAAAGTAATGTTATCATGTAAATTGTATAAAATAGAAAAATGAGGCAAAGTCAATCAGCTACAGCTGGGATTACTAAAGGTGATATAGCTCAAGAGTTCATGCTTTCAAGACACCACTGCAACAAATGAGCTTTTTTTTCCCTTTCTTTTTTTTTTTGCCAATCCTGGGACTTGAACTCAGGACCTGGGAAACTTTTTTTACTCAAGGCTAGTGCTCTACTACATCAGTCACAGTATCTCTTCCAACAAATAAGCTTTCTTTTCCTCAGTAGTCAAAACTAATTCAAGCTGGTGTATGCCTATAATCCTAGGTACTGAGGTGGTAGAGATGAAGGATCGCAGTTCAAGGCCAGTATGTACCAAAAGTTAGCAAGATCCCATCTCAACAAATGATGGAACATGCCTGTGGTCCTAGCTACATGGCAGGCATTGTGGCCCAAACAGGCTCCAGGTAAAAAAATGGAGAAAAATAACTAAAAACTTTTTGAAAAAGACCTAAAACCAAAATAAAGTGCCTGCCTAGCAATCTTGAGAACCAAAGTTCAAACCTCAGTACTACCTAAGTAAGAAAATAATCCTATATATAACATGCATATAGATGATGTATACATGCACAAATGTTTACAAACAAAGGGGCCTGAAAGAATTAACCCTGGTTGATAGCAGTCCACCAGGTATGGTGCAGATAGCTGATCTGCTCATGATATCACTTTACAAATAAGTGTGCATGTACATGTGCACATGCCCCTACACAGCCTTGTATCTTCCAAAAAGGCCTTATCAGGGCTTCCAGACTTCATTAATTAGCTAATTATACCCTGAAAGGAATTTTAAGATTTCATCAGATGTTAGATCACTCTGGGCTGACATATAAGCTGTTATTTATTGGTATAATGCTAGAAACACTCTACTTAAGATGAAGTTCAAAAGACCGTAGACTGTGGCTCTCCCACTCCTGTGTGAAGTCTTTGGAAAGGTTATCCTCCCTATGTCTCCTGGGAGACACATCACCTTCCGCTCCTCACAGTGTGTGTCTTCTTCACCTCTTGACACCTGACCATCCACTATAGCTCTCCACTCCTGTGTGTGTGAAGTCTGTGAAAAGGTTATCTTCCCTCTAATCTCCTGTAAGATACTTCATCTTCCTCTCTTCTCCTCATTTGACCTCTGAGCACCAGTTTCTTCCTTTTCTCAGTAAAACTTGATGACCTAAAACACCGCATTACGTGAGCTTAAATTTTAGAATACTAAAACAGGTTAAAATTAAGCCAGAAACCTTAGAGGTGGTTTTAAGTACCAACCACTACCTTTGCTATAAAAAATAAAGTAAAATAAAGGCCAGGTGCCTGGTGGCTCACACCTGTAATCCTAGCTACTCAGGAGGCTGAGACCTGAGCTGAGGCTCACGGTTCAAAGCCAGCCCAGGCAGGAAAGTTCATGAGACTCTTATCTCTAATAAACTACCAGAAGTAGCAATGTGGCTCAAGTGGGAGAGCACTAGACTTGAGCTGAAGAGCTGAGAGACAGCACCCAGGCCTAGAGTTCAAGCCCCACGACTGACAAATAAATAAATAAATAGCCTATGACATAGAGCCTCAGGCATGCAAGGCAAGCGCTCTACCACTGACCCACCTTCCCAGCCCCTTAAAATTTTTTTTTGTATGTGTTGGTCCTGGGGCTTGAAGTCAGGGCCTCGGTTATCTAACACTTGAGCCACAGCTCTATTTCCAGCTTTTTTCATGGTTAACTGGATCTAAGAATCTCATTAACTTTCCTGCCGGGGCTTGGCTTTGAACCATTATCCTTAGATCTCATTTCCTAAGTAGCTATGATTAGAGGTACAAGCCATTGGGACCCAACTTTAAAATTCTTTTCTAGCCAGGCTCTGGTGGCTCATGCCTGTAATCCTAGCTACCCAGGAGGCTAAAATCTGAAGATCGCGGGTTGAAGCCAGCCGGGGCAGAAAAGCCCAGTGAGACTCTTACCTCCAATTAACCACTCAAAAACTAGAAGTGGTGCTATGGCTCAAGTGGTAGACTGCTAGTTTTGAGCACAAAGAGGCTCAGGGACAGTGCCCAAGCTGTTAGCTATCTCCTTGCTGTGTGTCCTCTTCTGTGGTTCTGCTATCCAGAGTCTAAGTTCTTGACCTACTTTATTCAAGGGCTAGGTAAAATGTCTTTGCATTCAATTGGTCACCATTATAATAATTTTAATAGCGATAACTAATACTTTTTGATTCTTTTTATTAAAGTCTCATCCTAGCTGGGTGCCAGTGGTTCACACTTGTAATCCTAGCTACTTAGAAGGCTGAGATCTGGGGACTGTAGTTTCAAAGCCAGCCCAGTTAACTGGAGACTCTCATCTCTAATTAACCACCAAAAAAGCCAGTGGTAGAGGTCTGGCTCAAGTGGTAAGAGTGCTAGCCTTGAGCACAAAAATTTAGGAACATTGCCCAGGCCCTGAGTTCAAGCTCTACTACTAACCCCAAACAAACAAAAAAAGTCCCATCCTGTGACAATAGGGCATTATGTTAAGTGAAATAAGCCAAACACAGAAAGGCAAGTACTGCATGATCCCATTCATTTTGGAGTTTAAAAGCATTGGTCTCATTAAAGTTGAGATGAGAATGGTGGGTCATCAGGGGCTAAAGCAGGAGGTACAGTCAGTCAGTTGGTACAACTGAGGTAGTCAGTTATAGTTAGGGAGGAATAAAATATTCTGGTACGTTACAGCACTGCAGCAGGACTAAAGTTAACAATAACGCACAATACATTTCAAAAAGCTAAGGAAAGGATTTTGGAATGTTTTCACCTAAAGATAGGACATCTGAGGAGATAATTATGTCTATACAATATGTATTTACCTTGGGTATCACATGTAGAATTTTTATGATTTTAGGCATGAGTTTTAATAATTAATTTTCAAAAAAAACAACAAATGTAGGAATGAGAAAAAGAATATCCCTAGAGCTATTCAAAATACCTAACTACTGTGAAAAATTCCAGGTGCTACATTGGTGGGTGATGAATGGACAGGAAGCAGAAAGGAGCACATGCATACCACGTGTCAGACCACAGATTCATGACAGAGTGCTACCTGGTCAAAAAGTTGTTTGCCCGTCGTATTGGGCTGAATGGCAAATTCCAGCTCAGCATCCATTGTGGTTACTCTCACATTGATCTGAAATACAATCATAAGAGATAATCATTAGATGAAAGAATACACTTGTGAAGTAGTAGACATGAGAAAAGCCTGTAGTTGCTCAGGAGGCTGACATCTGAAAATCACAGTTCAAAGCCAGCCCAGGAAGGAAAATTAATGAAATTCTTATCTCCAATTAACCACAAAAAAGCCACAAGTGAAGCTATGGCTCAAATGGTAGAAGTGCCAGATAAGGGCACAGCAAAGGGACAGCACCCAGACCCAGAGTTCAAGCCCCAGTACTGGCACAAACAAAGAAAACAAAACCAAATTAACTGACTAAACCAAATTGATTTTCTCTAGGCGGTCTATTTTGAAAAGGTAGAGTTTCTTTCTTTCTTTTTTTTTTTTTTAAATTAGAGTGAATAGGTAAATGGCTATATTCTAACCTAAAAGTTTAAGAATAACATATTATTGGCTATTAATATGTTAAAAGTAGTTTCTTCCATAACTTTTAATTTGTAAATAACACACATACCTGATATCCAACTGCATATAAAAATTTAAATTCTTTACTTAATTACAATGGCAAGGAATTTTCCAAAGTACTTATAAACTTTCGAATTCCAACTAGCAGAGAATTAAAGATATCTGGCATCCTTTCCTGCACTAATACGAGTCATTAATTGTTGTCCCCTACCCTCCCCAGAGTATAGCATGGCAGCTCACTGTAGTTTTAATATATACTTTCTCATTAGCTTTAAAAAAGCCTTTATACACTGATTTCCATACTGTTACTTTCTTTTTCACACTATGCTATAAATTCTTTCTGATCTTTGTCTTTTCTATTCCTCTTGTTCACCAACACATTATGTTACCTGCTGAGACTTTGAAGTCATTCGTAAGTGAAACTCATGCCAGAAAATTCTGACAACTACAACCAACAATTTTCTTTAAAAACATACTTGAATCATGCATGTTGACTTATGTTTGTAATTTCAATCCCAGCATTCAGAAGGCTGAGGCTGGAGGATTGTGAATTTAAGTCCAGCCTTGAATTAAAAAAAAAAAAGTTGGCCAGAAGGAATATTATTATTATTAATTTTTTTTTGGGATCCGGTCGTGGGGCCTGAACTCTGGGCCTGGGCACTTGTCGCTCAGCTCTTCAGCGCAAGGCTAGCACTCTACCACTTGAGCCATAGCGCCACTTCCGGCTTTTTTTCTTTTTGTTTATGTGGTGCTGAGGAATCGAACCCAGGGCCTCATACATGCAAGGCAAGCGCTCTACCACTGAGCCACCTTCCCAGCCCCCAGAAGGAATATTATTGAAAAAACACTGTGTTCTTTTTTAGATGAAGAACATTTACCATAGGCGAAAGTCATCAGACCAGTATTATCAGCGTTAGTACTATCACAGCGAGAATGAGAAAACTAAGAACATGAGCCCTCGGGAGCCCTCATGATCATTTCTGAAGACTATGCTATCATTTACAGAGCACTGACACTGAGCATTGAATGTGTACCAGAATCTTCTAATCCTCACTACACTCTATAAATTAAATGATTCTATCATCATTTTTCATAAGGATAAGGACTGAAGCTCTGACCTCCATGCCATGATGTGCAACCTTAGCTGCAAAGCTGCCATGACTGGAGCTCACTGCCCACGAAGGCATGGTTCAGCCATGCTAACCCAAGGACTAGTCAGAGCAGTGCATTTTTCTTCCATGAACCCTCCCAGAGAGTTCCAGAGAAAACTTAAGAACACCTTATTAAGAAAGTAGTATTCGGCTAGGAATATGATTTGTGGCAGAGTGCTTGCCTAGCATGTATGAAGCCCTGGGTTCCATACCTCAGTACCACATACACAGAAAAAGCTAGAAGTGGCACTGTGGCTCAAGTAGTAGAGTGCAAAAGAAGCTTGAGCAAAAGAAGCTTAGGGACAGGGGCCTGGCCCTGAGTTCAAGACAAGACTGGCAAAAAGAAAGAAAGGCAGGCAGGCAGGCAAGAAGCGTCAAAGTAATGAGATCTACTTACTGGTTTCGGCATTTTCCTTCTCTTTCTGTTACTTCCCTTAAATAAAAATTCTTCAATTCTATAAAAACAAAACCGTCACCTGTTAAAGAAAAGATAACTTGTTACCTTTTCATATAAGCAATTCCATAAGCGTTTTTGAAAAGGCCTAATTATCATTTTTTTAGCCAAACTTGTTTAGAATAAAGTAAAAACCAACTCATTTTAATACTTATCTTCAGTGTCTTCTATTTGTGTTCCCTAAAAAGTTGAAATACATTTCAAATACCACATATCTCACATGCAATACAAAGCATGCTGACTTATTGAAAGTTTTCATTTAATTACAGACAAGGACACATGACTGCAGGAGCCAAGACTGCCTCTGGGAGCCAGGTTCATGCCTGGACCCAATCCAGCAAGGAAGAGATGGGAAAAAAGAAGGTAAGTGGATTCAGAATCTAAGGAATAGTTTTTCCTATCCTGTGAAAGACAAAAGGAAATTTTGACCAATGTAATGTTTCAATAAGACTTGTTGCGAGGGGCACTGGTGGCTCACTCCTGTAATCCTAGCTACTCAGGAGGCTGAGATCTGAGGATCGCGGTTCAAAGCCAGCCCGGGCAGGAGAGACCGTGAGACTCCTATCTCCAATAAACCACCAGAAAACCGGAAGTGGCGCTGTAGCTCAAATGGTAGAGCGCTCGCCTTGAGCTGAAGAGCTGAGGGACAGCGCCAAGGCCCAGAGTTCAAGCCCCACGACCGACAAAAAAAAAAAAAAAAGACTTGTTGCAAAGCAATTCCTTTTCTCTTGAAAATTAGAGTAAATTTGTATGTAGCTTATTTACCTAAGGTGTATAAAACAGCTATAAACTGTAGCACATTAACAATCTGCATGCTATACACCAGCAAGCCAGTGCCGTTTCCAAAATTTAGAATTGCCTTTAAGACCATTAGAATTCTTTCTTTTCTTCCTAAGGCAGTAAACCTTAGCAAAGGAGACCCATTATGTTGTCTTAGAGTAAATGTTCTTAGTAAGAAGTATTTTGCTGGATCTAACACTTAGACTGAGACAAGAGAATCAAGATTTAGAGGCTAGTCTGGGCTATAGGGCAACCACAAGGCCAGCCTGAATTACATAGTGAGATCCTAAAAAATACAAAAATTAGGTGTGACATTGCATGCTGCAATCCCGGCTGTCGTGAAGTACACAGGATGATCAAAGTCTGAGGGTGGTCTCGGGGGTGGGGGGGTGGAGAACGATGACAACCAAAAGCTGGGTAACATGTAGTGGTGCATGCCTGCCATCCCAACTACTAGAGAGGCAGGAATCGGGAGGCTCAAGGCTCAAAGCTAGTCCAGCCTAAGGTCTGCAAGACCCCTGCCCCTCCACCTCCCCCACACTCAATAAAGCAGTGTGCTGGTGTCTGCCTGTGATTCCAGCTACACAGGAAGCAATAGATAGGACTGCAGTTCAGGCTAGCCCCAGACGAACACATAAGATCTTACCCAAAAAGTAAAGCAAGCCAGGTGCCAACAGCACCTAGCTACTCAGGAGGCTGAGCTCTGAGAACTCATGTTCAAAGCCAGCTGGGGCAGGAAAATCATGGACTCATCTTCAATTAACTAGCAAAAAGCCAGAAGTGCAGCTATGGCTCAAGTGGTAGAGCACCAGCCTTGAGCAAAAAAGGTAAGGGACATCACCCAGGCCCTGAATTCAAATCCAAGTAATAAAGAAATAGAAGAAAGCAAAAAGGTATGCTGGATGTAGCTCAAATCAGAGCACCTGCCTAAGAATATGAGGCTCTGAGTTCAAACCCCAGTGCTGCTCCACCCCAAAAGAAAAAAAAAACTAAATAGTGTTTCCCCTCTTGATAAACATACCAGATAATCAAAAATTCTTAATCATCATTACCAATCCAGAAAAGAGACTAGCATTCCAATTTAAAATTTACTACTGGTAATACAATTTTAAGTTATTTGAAAATAGACTTAGGTGATATATCTGCCAAGAAACTACTTGTTACAGTGGAATCGATTAAATGAATATCTGAATTGAGGTCAGGCCCCAAATTCCACTAACACATGTGCCCATAAATCCCTTAGACAGCCAGGCATCAGTGGCTCACACCTATAATCCTACCTACTCAGGAGGCTGAGATCTGAGGATCATGGTTCAAAGCCAGCCCAGGCAGGAAAGTCTGTGAGACTTTCTTTCTTTTCTTTTTGTCAGTTGTGGGGCCTGAACTCTGGGCCTGGGCTCTGTCCCTCAGCTCTTCAGCTCAAGGCAAGCGCTCTACCACTTGAGCCAGTGCCACTTCCAGCTTTTTCTGCTTATGTGGTGCTGAGGAACTGAACCCAGGGCCTCATGCATACAAGGCAAGCACTCTACCATTGAGCCACCTTCCCAGCCCAGTCTGTAAGACTCTTATCTCTGATAAACCACTAGAAAACTGGAAGTGGCGCTGTGGCTCAAGTGGTAGAGTGCTCACCTTGAGCTGAAGAGCACAGGGACAGTGCCCAAGCCCAGAGTTCAAGCCCTACAACCAACCAAAAAAAAAGAAATCCCTTATACAGAGAACTTCCTCCTGAGATTTTTCTAGTCTTGAGTCATGAGCAATGAAATTCGGTAGGAATTTCAGCCCTGCCTCTTCCCAACCAGTTTTGGGTCTACCCCTCACCACAAACACTGTTATGACCTAAGCATAGTTCCCATGAATTTTTCTATGCTGCTTACCATGCCAATGGCCCATGCCTTACTTCAGATCTCATCATCTCAGTCTTGACTAACACCATCTCCAAAGTAACTGCTTTTTACATGGCTTATCAGCCAGTAATCCCCACATGGCATTTCTACTTGTTTGCTAACTTTGCTTGCTCACTGTCTAGAAGATTTTTTTCAAGTATACAATGGCCCAAACACTGGAATCCCTATAGCAGACCAAATCTGCAGTTCTTCAAGGCTGCACATTATTACATATTTCCAGAAAGCTATTGATAGAAATATAAAAATTCTAAGAAATATTATCAGATGTGAAGTTATGGCCTTTTTTATTCCTAATACTATTCAATTTTATCTGCCTTTTCTTTGGTTAATCTTGCCAGAAGTCTGTTATTTTTTTCTCTTGTTATTTCATTGCTTTCACTAGTACCTTGACTAGTTTATTGTTTCATGTCTTATTCCCTAAAAATTATAAAGTTTACCTAAGTAAACTCCACTATCTTTCCTTAATAACTTGTCCACTAAGATCATAAACTTGAGGCCTGATGTGGGAACACATGCCTGTAATGACAGCTACTTAGGAGGCAGAGGCTGTAAAGATAAGGATTTGAGGTCAGCCCAGGCAAAAAAGTGAGAGATTTCATCTCAACAAACAAGCTGGGCCTGCTATGTATCTGTAATTCTAGCTATACAAAACTTATTGAGTTATACAAAACGTATTGAGATGCAAGGCCGGTGATAGATAAAACCACGCTTTGAACCGAAAAATAACTAAAATGCATAAAAATAACTAAAATGAATACCACTTTAGCTGTTCAAGTGATGATACCTAACCCCTTTACACCTCCTCCCTCCAAGAAAAGGGAAAAGAAAAAGAAAAACCAATTGGCCAGCATGGTGGCTCCCACTTTAAAAAAAAATTTTTTTTTACTCTAAAAGTGATATACAGAGGGGTTACAGTTCTGTAAGTAAGGTAGTGAGTATATTTCTTGTTGAATATTGTTAATCACACCCCTCATTTTTCTCCCACTTCCTCCCCGCCCAAGTTGTAAAGTTCATTTTCAACACAGTGTCTTATACAGCTGTTCTACTGGTTCACCCTTTGCCTTTTGTCTCGCCATTGTGTTACCCTTCCCTTCCCCAAATCAGATAAATGCATATACAAGACACAGTGTACCAAAATCAAAACCACTGACAACAAGGGATAAACAAAAGGAAAAAGAAATACAAAAGAAAAAAAGAACTTCACACAGTACATTAAAAACAAAAACCCCATTTCCATATGTTGGAGTTCATTTGACTCAGTAGATAAATGGATCAAGACAATGTGATACACACATACAATCAAATTCGATGCTTCTATCAGAAAGAATTACTCGCCCCATTTGTAAGGAAATGTTAAGATAGGAAAAACCTTATTAAATGAAGCCAGACCCAAAGAAACTATAGGCTCCATAATTTACCTCATTTGTAATAATTAGTATATGTCTAGGATAATCCTAGCAGAGGATCAAAATAACTCAATAGCTATATACATTGACCATATAGTGGCTCACACTTTTAATCCCAGCTATTTAGAAGGGGAAGAATGAAAGGATCAGGGTCCAAGGCTAGTTCTGGAGAAAATGTAGGACTCTGAAAAATAAAAACAGAAAAGAAGCTGGGCACTGGTGGCTCACACCTATAATCCTAGCTACTCAGGAGGCTGAGATCTGAGGACTGTGGTTCAAAGACAGCCCGGGGAAGAAAAGCCTCTCATCTCCAACTAATCACCGGAAAATTGGAGTGGCACTGTGGCTATAAATGATAGAGCACTAGCCTTGAGCAAAAAGAGCTCAGGGACCACATGAGCCACAAAAAAAAAGTCTGGGTTCAAGTTCAAATCCCAGTATTGCCCTCCTACCAAAAGAGAAGCCATGAACTAAATTATAAGGTAAACAGTAACTCATTATAAGGTATAAGGTAAATCTAAATATATAATGATTTCACTAATCAGTGAGAAAATATTAATGTTCACTAATAATACATGTTAGCAAACTTAACTAAGATCATGATTTTATAAAACATTGAGTTAGATATATACTATTTGCTCCACCTCACATTCCATAAACTATTTTATTTAGACCCTCTGACACATTTGCAATACTGTCAGAGTCCAGGCCTTCACAATGAAGCTTCTAAAAAATATTCAGCTGAGCACTGGTGTTTAATCCTAGCTACTCAGGAGACTGAGATCTAAAGATCAAGGTTGAAAGCCAGACTGGGCAGTTAAGTCTAAGGGACTCTTATCTCCATTTAACCACCAAAAAGCAGGAGGTAGGGCTGTAGCTCAAGTGGTAAGAACACTACTATAATTTTAGCTA